AGGTTGGGTGCCTCGCGCCGGGGGCCGTTGGGAGGGAGCGCTCCCCCGCCCCCCCTCCCCGGCCCCCACTCCTACACCGCTGCTGCCGGGGCCCTGCCTTCCCGTCGGCCCCCGCGGGAAGGTCCTGGGGCGCCCCCTCCCCTCGTTCCCCCGGTCCGGGCCGCAGGTGAGAGACCGGAGGGGGTTGGGGGGAGGGCCCGGAGGGCGGAGACGTTGGGGAAACGGCGAGCGTGAAACCGGAAGGGATGCCTTAAAGGGAAGGTCGCTGCTTCACCACCGACTATGTCCCCTGGGTTGGCTCCGCCCTCTTAAAGGGCAAGGGGCTGATTTTTAGAGGGGCGGGGCCGTCTCTTTGACAAATACTTCCTTTATAGATGCGCTACATTTTTCATCCCTTTTTTCCCTAAATTGGGAGTGACAGTTTCCTAGACTTTGAAGGAAAAGCTTCTGAAGCGTGGTTGCTTCCCAGCAGTGGTTACTTGAGTAACACAAAGGTGGAGATGGGTGCAAGGGCTGCAGCCTCTTAAAGGGGAAGTCCAACCTGGGGAAAGGGTGTGGTCCCACCCTGGGTGGTCACAGTAACCACTCTGGGCTGCTCACCAAAAGTTGGCTATTCGGGTTCACCCATTGGCGTCTCGGAAGAAAGGCCTGGCAATCTGTTTCCAAAAAATCAGCCACTGAAAGCCATATGATCACAGTTCTACCCTGACACACATGGAGGCGCCATGAGTGGGAATCAGCTCAACTGGTAGCTTTTGGTTTTTGGTTTTGGTTTATGTTCTAAGATGAGTCCCACCTCTTCTGGGGCATGGATCTTTTGTTTAAGGCGATGTCTCGTCTTCTGGAAAGCATGTGCAGCTTCTTGGAATAATTGCCTTCTTGAAAGGACTTGCTTACATGTTAAAAGGAATATTTATCTTTTCTAGCCAATAACCTGTTGCCATGGAGTGGATTCAGACTAATGGCAACCCCATGTGTGTCAGAGTAGAATTGCACTCCATAGGGTTTTCAATGACTGATTTTTCGGAAGTAGATCACCAGGCTTTTCTTCTGAGGTGCCGCTGGGTAGACTCGAACCTCCATTCTTTCAGTTAGCAGCCGGGCACGTTTACCACTTGTACTATGCAGGGACTTTTCAAAGGGAATGCTTATAGCCTCTCAGAGGGGATAGCCTGCCCTCGTTCATTCAGCGTTTATTTATGGAACACATACTCTGTGCCTGACATTCTAGGTTCTGGGATACGACAGTGAACCAGACAGTGGTCCATGCTTTTGTGAAGTTGACATTCTAGCATGGGGAGATAGATAATAAAACAGGAAACATACATACATTATATAGCAGTGGTTTTCAACTGGGGCGATTTTGCTCCCTTGGGGCCTACGTGTAGGCAAGGGCCAATCTGGCAGTGTCTGGAGACATTTTTTGGTTGTCACAACTGTAGGAGGGGGGTGGCATGCACTGGCATCTAGTGGGTGGAGGCCAGAGGTACTGCTAAACATCGTACAATGCACAGGCCAGCCCCCCACAGCAGAGAATCAACAAGCCCCAAACATTAATAGTGCTGAGGTTGAGAAACCCCGATTATGTAGTTATCTATGTTCTAACAGAGATGCTCTGGTGGTGCTCGGCCGCTAACCTAAAGGTCAGTGGTTTGAACCCACGAGCAGCTCTGTGGAAGAAAAGACTTGGCGATCTGCTCCTGTAAAGATTACAGCCTACGAAACCGTATGGAGCAGTTTACTCTGTCTTGTAGGGTCACTATGAGTTGGAATTGACTTGATGGCACACAGCAACAACATGTTTTGATATATGTATGTTATATATGTTTGAAAGGAGCCCTGGTAGCACAGTGGTTAAAGTGCTTGGCTGCTAACCATAAGGTTGGCAGTTTGAACCCACCAGCCGCTCCTCAGGAGAAAGATTTGGCAGTCTGCTTCCGTAAAGATTTACAGCCTTGGAAACCATTTTGGGGCAGTTCTACTCTGTCCTATAGGGTTGCTATGCGTCAAAATCGACTTGACAGCAGTGGGTTCTTACATATGTGAGAAGATAATAAACACTAGGGAGGAAAAAATAAGGCAGGGAAAGAATGGGGAATGTTGGAAGGGGTTGCACGTTTGAACTGGGTTGTCAGGGAAGGCATCACGGGGGTAGCATCTCAGGAAAGACTTGGAGGTACGGGAGGGGGTTCTTTGGATAGCAGAGGGAAGGGGCACTAGGCAGGGGCCAGCTAGGAGGCTGGAGCAGAATGAGGGGCAGGGAGGCTCACAGGAGAACAAGGAAAGGTGGGAACCAGGGGGAGGCATGGGAAGGCTTGTCAGGCCCTCCTAGGGGATCTGCCTTCTGCTGTGATGGGAAGTGGTGAAGGGTTTTGAGCTGAGGCTTGCACCGCCCTGATCTACGTATTGATGGGTTCACTTTAGCTGCTCCGTTGGGAATAGATGGGGGAGGAAGGGTCAGAGATCTGTTGGGAGCTTGCCACTGCCCCCTGGAGAGAGCTGTTGGTGTCTGGGAGAAAAGTGGTGATGGCGGGTGTATGAAAAGTGGCCTGTTTCCAAATATGTTCCAGCTAGGGTCACTATGAGTCAGAACTGACTAGATGGCAGTGGGTTTGGTTTGGTTTGATTTTTAGACCAGGGCAAAGGAGCCCTGGTGGCACAACGGTTAAATGCTCGGCTGCTAACCTAAAAGTTGGTGGTTCGAACCCACCAGCAACTCCACAGGAGAAAAGACCTGGCAATCTGCTCCTATAAAGATTACAGCCAAGAGAACCCTATAGGGCAGTTCTACTCTGTTACATGGGGTCGCTAGGAGTCGGAATCGACTCCACAGCAACTAACTACCACAACAACAGATCACGGGACTCCCTGCACTAAGTGGTTATGGAGTGAGGAAGACAGGTGTCAAGGAGGACCCCAGGCTCTTGTCCTGAGCAGCTAGAAGAACTGAGCCGCCGTTTGTGGAGATGGGGAAGGCTGTGGGGGGAGGAGAGTTTTGTTGGGGCTGAAGGGGCTCAGGAGCAAAAACTGGAGTTCTATTTTGGGCACGTTAAGTTTGAGGCGCCTTTTAGACGTCCTAGTGGTGTTGTCTGGCAGGACTTTGGAGTTCAGAGGGGAGGTCTGGAGTAGAGATAGGTGTTTGCTCGTAAACGGTATTTAAAGTCCTGAGAGCGGTGAACGCGCTTAGGGATAATGTGGATGAGGAATGATTGTGGGGTGAACAGCCCTGAGAGATGAGGAGCCAGCACAGGAGACGGGGCAGGAGCAGCAGGTGCCGGGGGTGGAAAGACATCGAGGACTGTGGGGTTCTGGAAGCCGAGGGAAGAGGCTGAAGGAAGGAGTGACCACGGGAGTCACCGCCCAGACGGGCACTGAGCACTGAGTGCCGGATCCAGCCCCATGGAAGTCACTGATGACATTGACTGGAGCAAAGTGGTGAAGTGCTGGGAACACACATCTGATTAAAGCGGCTCGACGGAGGGAAGAGAGCATGTGTTGGTCATATGTTTGAGATGCTGTGCTGTAAAGGGGTAGAGAGATAGAACGCCGGAGCTGGAGGAGGAAGGAAGTGGGGTTGAGAGGTTTTAACTTTTTTAAAGATGGGAGTCAAAGGTGGTTGTTGTGCTGAAGGGAGCCATCCAGGAGACAAGAGGAAATGGGGGATGCAGGAGAGAGAGGGCAGGACTGCAGAAGCAACGTCCCGGAGTTAGGAGGGAGGACTCTGGTGCCTAAGGGGAGATTGTAGCTTTTGGTAGGGGTCGGACTGTGCATCCACAGGGGGAAGTCAGTTCTGGGCACAGAGGTGGGTAGGGGGCTGGGTGGAAGGAAGGCAGGACCCTCAACTCGGGCACTGCTGACATGTCAGGCTTGAGGAGTCTTTGCCATGGGGATGGTCTTGTGCACTGTAGAGTATGGAGCAGTATCTCTGGACTGCATCTACTTGATGCCAGTAACATCCCCCCCCCCGATAGTCATGACAACCAGAAATGTGTCCAGACGTGGCCACGTGTCCCTGGTCTAGACCCACTGGTGTAGTGGCAGGACTGTGCAAACGTTCTCTTCTGAACACTTTTATTTTTGGAGTGAAATAACCAAGGGCCAGGCTGCCTGCTAAGAGCCAATGGCACAGGAGGAGCTGGAGACCTGAGGAGGAGAAAAGAAACATGCCAAGTGGTCATCATTGGGGATGGAGGTGGGGATGAATGGAGCAAAGCAATGCAGGGCCCAGTGTGGGAACTCTTAGTTAGCCCCGGGACAGGAGTGCAGGTGTTGTGGTGTGTGGCAGGCCCTACTCCCACCACCTCTCTGTGGCTGCCTTCTCTCTGTGGCTATGCTCTGGGTTGCTGTTGGCTGCAAGGGAGTGATTTTAATGGCAGCCCAAGGCCTTTATGCTGGGTAAGAAGGTCCCTGGATGGTGTAATGGTTTGCACTCGACTACTAACCTAAAGGTTGGTGGGTCGAACCTACTCAGTGGTGTCATGGAAGAAAGGCCTGGCAACCTGCTTCCACAAAAGATTAACCCATTGCCATCAAGTCTGTTCCGACTCATAGCAACCCTATAGGACAGAGTAGAACTGCCCCATACAGTTTTCTTGGCTGTAATCTTTGCAGAAGCAGATTGCCAGGCCTTTCTTCTGCAGTCCCACTGAGCGGGTTCCAACTGCCAATCTTTATGTTAAGTAGCCAAGCATGAACTGTTTGCTCCACCCAGGAACCTTCCACTTTCCGCACGGACACAGCTTACCTTTTAGGGGGAACGAGCAGAGTCATAAAAGGAATGTTTGGCCTCCTAAAGATCATGCCTAGCCCCCTAGAGATCGCCGACATCCTAGGGAGGGTGACCCACGTGTCACTGTTTGTCCCGGACTTTTCCATTGTAAGCTTCCTGGATGCTTGGCAGCACTAACCGTAAGGGAGCGGGCCCTCCTGTGGGGATGGGCTGGGGAGCGCTCTTGCATCTTAAAGGGCCAGCATCCCCTCTGACGGGCACCCCTTTGCCAGGTGTGATGGTCGGCTCGCACGTGGACATGGCGCCTGCCTCCACAGCAGAGGGCGCCGGCGAGAAGCCAGGACCGGCCGCCCCGGCCCCGGCAGGTCAGTACGAGTGCGGCGAGTGCGGCAAGGCCTTTCGCTGGTCATCTCGGCTTCTGCACCACCAGCGCACGCATACCGGTGAGCGGCCCTACAAGTGCCCCGACTGCCCCAAGGCCTTCAAGGGCTCGTCAGCCCTGCTCTACCACCAGCGCGGCCACACAGGCGAGCGGCCCTACCAGTGCCCTGACTGCCCCAAGGCCTTCAAGCGCTCCTCGCTGTTGCAGATCCACCGCAGCGTGCACACGGGCCTGCGCGCTTTTACCTGCGGCCAGTGTGGCCTGGCCTTCAAGTGGTCCTCCCACTACCAGTACCACCTTCGCCAGCACACAGGCGAGCGGCCCTACCTATGCCTGGACTGCCCCAAGGCCTTCAAGAACTCGTCCAGCCTGCGGCGCCACCGGCATGTGCACACCGGCGAGCGGCCATACACCTGCGGCATTTGCGGCAAGAGCTTCACGCAGAGCACCAACCTGCGGCAGCACCAGCGCGTGCACACAGGCGAGCGGCCCTTCCGCTGCACGCTCTGCCCCAAGACCTTCACGCACTCCTCCAATCTGCTGCTGCACCAGCGCACCCACGGTGCCACCGCCCCTGCCGCCAACCCTGCCCCAGGCAATGCCACCTCCACCCCCGCCGCCCCCCAGCACCGCTGCGAGCCCTGCGGCAAGGTCTTCGTTTCCGACGCCTACCTGCAGCGGCACCTGCAGTCCCATGGCCCGCCTGTGCCCCCTCCTGCACCCGCGCCGGCGCCCCCGCCTGTGGTCCCCGAGCTCTTCCTGACCACCGCCGAGACTACAGTGGAGCTCGTGTTCCGCTGTGACGGTTGTGAGCTGGGCTTCGGCAGTGAGGAGCTCCTGCTGGAGCACCAGCCGTGCCCGGGGCCCGAGGTGGCGCCCCTGCCCCCGGATACGCCCGCTGCCTCCGCTGCCTCCAAGCCAGACCCGCCCCCGGTGCTGTCCCCGCCCTCGCCCCTGCCGCCGCCTGCGCCGGCCACAGCGCCAGGCTTCGCCTGCCTGCCCTGCGGCAAGTCCTTCCGGACTGTGGCCGGCCTCTCGCGCCACCAGCACAGCCACGGCGCGGCTAGTGGGCAGGCGTTCCGCTGCGGCAGCTGCGACGGGGCCTTCCCGCAGCTAGCCAGCCTCTTGGCGCACCAGCAGTGCCACGTGGAGGAGGCAGCAGCTGGGCGCCCGCCCCCGCAGGCCGAGGCGGCCGAGGTCACCTGTCCACAGGAGCCGCCACCACCACCGCCCGCCGCAGCCCCAGCCGAGCGGCCTTACAAGTGCGCGGAGTGTGGCAAGGCCTTCAAGGGCTCGTCGGGCCTGCGCTACCACTTGCGGGACCACACGGGCGAGCGGCCCTACCAGTGCGGCGAGTGCGGCAAGGCCTTCAAGCGCTCGTCCCTGCTGGCTATCCACCAGCGAGTGCACACGGGCCTGCGCGCTTTCACCTGTGGCCAGTGTGGTCTCACCTTCAAATGGTCTTCCCACTACCAGTACCACCTGCGGCTGCACTCGGGCGAGCGGCCCTACGCTTGTGGCGAGTGTGGCAAGGCCTTCCGCAATACGTCGTGCCTGCGGCGCCACCGCCACGTGCACACTGGTGAGCGGCCTCACGCCTGCAGTGTATGCGGGAAAAGCTTCGCGCAGACCTCCAACCTGCGGCAGCACCAGCGCGTGCACACCGGCGAGCGGCCCTTCCGTTGCGCGCTCTGCCCCAAGACCTTCACGCACTCTTCCAATCTGCTGCTGCACCAGCGCACGCACTCGGCAGAGCGCCCCTTCACCTGCTCTGTCTGCGGCCGTGGCTTTGTCATGGCCGCCTACCTGCAGCGCCACCTGAGGACGCATGCCCCTGCCAACCCGGCCCCCAGTGGCGCCGGCCCCCAGCCCCCGGCCCCGCTAGCTGCTGCCCCACCCGCCACCCAAGACGTCCATGTCCTCCCCCACCTGCAGGCCACGCTCTCCCTCGAGGTAGCAGGGGGCACAGCCCAGGCCCCGCCCTTGGGTCCTGCCGCCCCCAACTCCCAGACGTTCCTCCTGGTGCAGACAGCCCAGGGCCTCCAGCTGATACCCAGCAGCGTCCAGCCCCCCACCCCTCCGCCCCCACCTGTGCCCCCTAAGCTCATCTTGCTGCCTCCTTCCAGTGCTAGTGGGGGCGGGGGCCAGGCAAGGCAGAGCCCGCGGGTTGTGGGGAAAGCCGCACAGGGGGCTGGAGTGGTCTGGCTGCCGAGCTCTGGGGGGCTGGGGGTGCAGGGAGGGGCCAGCCCTGGGGCCAACACAGGAGGGCAGAGCCTCATAGTTCTGCAGAATGTGGGGGGTGGGGATGCAGGGGCACAGGAAGTGAGCGGGGTCCAGCTCCAGCCCCTCCGGCCAGCCCAGGAAGTGACAACGGTCCAGCTGCAGCCGGCCCAGGAAGTGACCACGGTCCAGCTCCAGCCGGCCCAGGAAGTGACCACGGTCCAGCTTCAGCCCGTAGCGGGCCAGCTCTCCAGTCCCAGTGGCGGCGCAGTGACTACCGAGGCCCCCAACCTACTGGTGGTTCAGAGTGGGGCAGCCGAGGAGCTGCTCACAGGCCCCAGCCAGGGGGAGGCGGGTGACGGCGAGGCCAGCACCGGCGTAGTCCAGGACGTCCACTTTGAGACGCTGCAGACGGACGAAGGGCTGCAGAGCGTCCTCGTGCTGAGCGGGGCCGATGGCGAGCAGACCCGCCTGTGCGTGCAGGGGGTAGAGACACTCCCCGCCGGCCTGGCGGAGCCGCCTGCCCCCGGCCCACCAGGACAGAAACTCCTCATCATCCGCAGCGCCCCAGCCACCGAGCTGCTGGAGAACAGCGGCGTCGGGGGCGGCGGCGCCACGCTGCAGCTCCTGGCCCCACCCCCGTCCGGGCAAGCCCCTGCCCCAGCAGGCATCCCCGCGGTGCCCACCCCCCAGATGGTCCAGGTGGTCCCGGCCGGGGCCGGGGCCCAGCAAGGCCTTCCCTCCATCCAGATTGTGCAGACCCTGCCCGCGGTCCAGCTGGTGCACACGTTTTGAGGATACCGACTGGTACCTCTTCCTGCCCCAGAGCGAGACACCGGCTCTGTCCACCTTGGCTGGGTTCCGGAGAGGGAGGGGCCGCAGGCTGGGTTTGCTAATAAAGACCCAGAATCTCCTTCGCTTTGTTTTC